ATCATCAGAAAGTTTACTTTGCAGCTCTGTTCTTAATGGGATCTACCAAATACCACTAGTTTTGGGTGCCCATTTAATTTTTATTGCTCCTTTTTCTGGTGGTTCTTGAATTTTAACTTGTGTTTTTTACGCTAATTGTAACGCTTTGTATAAATGTTAATAACTTAATATATATTCCTTTCGATGTTCCATCATCGGAATGTTACTTTGTAGCTGGTTCTTAGTGGCAGCTCTTACCAAATGCCATGAATTTGTTATCCCTACTGAGTTTTCTTGCTGTGTTTTGTAACGCTTTCTAATACTGGCGGGGTTTCGCTTTCCTTTTTACCTCTTTGGTAGTTGTACCAGTTGATTTGTTCTGTTTCTTGCTTTACAAACTAAGATAAATTGTTGATCTCCCTAATCAAGAGGCATAATTTTGCATTGTTGCTTTCCTTTAGCTGCTGTCTTTTTGCATGTGTTTTGTATTCAAATAGTTCTCGTACAATTCAGCTATCTCGGGTTACTAGATTGTAGGGTTTGAAGTAAATTGACGATTTGTGTTTTCTGAAATTTTCTTTTCTATTTTGTCTTCTGTGAAGAATGGAAAACACGATCAAGCATGCTATTGTGATCAAGGTTATGGGACGGACTGGATCTCGTGGGCAGGTGACTCAAGTGAGAGTCAAGTTTCTGGATGACCAGAACCGTTTCATCATGAGGAATGTCAAGGGACCGGTCAGGGAGGGGGATATCCTTACCTTGCTCGAGTCCGAGCGGGAGGCAAGAAGGTTGCGGTAATCATCAGAGATGGTTTTGTTTGTCGATGCTCCTATGTCTGAGTTTAGGTTCGTTGCAAGCAACAGTTATTTTGTGTCGGTGAATGGCTGTTGTGTTGCCCTGGGAATTACTAGCATTACAGACATTATTTTTGTGATGAGATTTTGTTATGGAATGTTTCTAAACTAAATTGTCTGAAAAAATCCTAGGTTTTGTTTGAGCAAGTGACTGTTCCTTCTTGCTATGTCAAATGTTTGCTTTCCTTCTTACCATTTACCAGGAGTGTTGCTTAATTGCTAGTCATTCTGTTGTCTTAAAATCAATACAAGATGTTGACGTGGTTTAATCGTAACTGTTTAAATAGGAAGGGATGAGAGATTAGGAGGGAAGATAATTTAACGATTTTTAAGAATTTGCAATTTCTTCGTCCATACTTGAAGCCTAAATTTTGTAATAGAAAGCAATTCAAGCAACAAGGGAGTCAAAATATTGATTAAATTCATGTTTGTCATTAACATTCTTAAAAGTATGGCAATAATCAGTTACCCCTTAAAATTCAGGAGTATTTTTCACTGTTCTTACGCCCTATTTGTATTAATATTCATTTATAGGCGAGAAGTTTTAGATTTGAATCTGTATGGATGAAAGTTTTGATTTTCTCCACGTGGCTTAGTGCAAATCCTTCAACTTTTTTGGATATAATATAGTGGTTTATAGGAAACATAAAGATTAAAGGCAATGGTTTTACAATCGAACAAAAAAAAGGCCTTCTTGAAGTGGAGAGAATAAATTGGTATTGAATTTGTCATTCAATACTACGATCTGATCGTATTTCTCTTCATTTGTAAGTAAGAGGTATTAAGTTCAAATCTTGTGGATGTTGAATTCGATATCTAATTAGATTGCTTATTGTATAATTTAGTCAAACTTTCTCTTCTCTTAGTATAATATATCGTTGTACCATAAAATAAATTAAGCATCATCATTCACGAAATTTGAATTTACAAGCTCTCGCATACGTAAAAGATAAATATTATCAAAGCAAGGGACAAACTCAAGGTTCTGACAGTTTGAAACTTTTTAATAATTAAAAAAAAAAAAAAAACTTCAGCAAAACAGAATTTGGAAATAAATTAATAGAAAATCAGCCGATGATGTGAAAAAAACAAATAATACAATAACAAAGGGTAAAATAGTAAACCCAACCCAAACCCTAGTACATAAACACTTCTCTTCTGCGCCGCTCCCTCGTCGTCTCGAGCGATTCAGCACACCCCTCGCAGCGCCATTTTCTTGCTTTCTCCAAGCTCTCCCACCGTCTTCTGAAACTCCAACCTCCAGGTCGGTGCTCGCCTCTCTCACTTCCTGTCGTCGATAGCTTGTCGTTCTCGTTGCATCTGCTACTTTTTATTTTTTGTTAATTTTTTATTCTTAATGCTTCGTGTTTATTGAGAATTAGGCTTGAATGTTTACTTGCGGATTTCAATTGTAATAAGAAATTAAGAGTCACAAATTTTGGTCTTAATGTGATTAAAGGTTCAGTAATTTTCTTGCTAGTTTTATTTATCTAATTTTTATACGTGATTTGTTGAATAAATGTATTTAGCTTCCATAATCAATTAATTAGTTCAAAATTCGGACCATTTGAGGCCGGCACTGTCAAACAGTGATCAACTAGGGCTTAGAGCATTGATTTTCTAACTTTTGTAGCTTGAATTCTGGTTATACAGACACCATGGCCGCTGCTGATGTCGCTGCTCCTGTGCTGGAACCAACGCAGGCGCACTATGACGTGAAGCTGTTCAACCGCTGGAGCTTCGATGATGTCCAGGTTTCTGGATTTTTTTGTTAAATTTTGTACTCTGGTTATCCGAAATATGGACTGTAATTCCTTGATCGTATATGTTTAGAGTGGACCGAAAGTGAATTTGTTATACTCAAATCTACTATTTGTGCTATGTGATTTGCAACATATAGGTCAGTGACATTTCACTGGCGGATTACGTTGGAGTTGCACCTTCCAAGCATGCAACATATGTACCTCACACTGCTGGGAGATACTCGGTCAAACGATTCAGGAAAGCTCAGTGCCCTATTGTGGAGAGGCTTACTAACTCACTCATGATGCACGGCAGAAACAACGGAAAGAAACTCATGGCTGTCAGGATTGTTAGGCACGCGATGGAAATTATTCATTTGCTAACTGATCTGAACCCAATCCAAGTTATTGTTGATGCCGTTGTTAACAGGTACGTGAACATGAATATACGTATATCTTTCACATAGTAACGACACATGGTTGCTTGTAATTTCTCATATTTGTGAAACCGTTTTTTTAATTTTCATGTTGTATGTCTTCTTCGTGCCAATCAGTGGTCCACGTGAAGATGCAACTCGCATTGGATCTGCTGGAGTTGTTAGGCGTCAGGCTGTGGATATCTCACCTTTGAGACGTGTGAATCAGGCTATCTATCTCCTCACAACCGGTGCTCGTGAGTCTGCTTTCAGGAACGTCAAAACTATTGCAGAGTGTTTGGCTGATGAACTTATTAATGCTGCCAAGGGTTCCTCTAACAGGTACCGATGTCTTGTTCAATATGCACATATTTGCCTTGTACTTGTTATTTACTCCCTATTTACTCCCTCAACTCTTATCTCTGCTGATTTCATTTCTTTCCCTTGATTCATTGGTTCCATTTCTGAGTATTGGCGGTCCTTTCTGTGCAGTTACGCAATCAAGAAGAAGGATGAGATCGAAAGAGTTGCCAAGGCTAACCGTTAAGGAGCTGCCGGAAATTTTGACGGAGCGAGGAGGGTTTTGTATGCATTTTGTTTATTCACTCATTACTTTGAGGTTGTCGGATTTACCGTAGAGCATGAGAATTGTCAGTCCTTTGTTTTGTTACGGAAATCTCAGTTATTCTTGTTCTTGAGTTGAATTTTGTTAGAATTATGTTACATTTGAGTGGTAGAGTTTCAAAACCAAATAACCCAATGAATTAGTCGTATGAAAACTTGGGTAACCAAGTTGCAAAACCAACCCAGAAATTTGACAAAACAATAACATAATTACACAGAGACCCTCTAGGCAACTAGAACCAACAGGCAAGGAGCGATCCCCATATCGCAGGAGCAACAGAAGAACGGCGCAAAAAGCTAACGCATCCGCCACTAAGTTAGCTTTCGATAAGTCATGACAAAACGATATGCATTATAATTTACTCGCCGACTTCTGCACACTATGGATAATAGTGAGAAGCTGCCGAGTGACAAAGGATCCACCACCGAATATAGCATCGATGAGGATCTTAGAGTCTCCTTCCACCTGCCTCCGCTCGGACTCTTTATCACTCACCAGTCTCCTTCCACCTTCCTCCGCTCGGACTCTCTTTCACTCACCAAATCCTTTCGACTTAAAGAATTAAAGATTAATGCTAGTTTAACCATTTTTTTTTATCATATTTGTAAACTATGTTACGCATCATCAATAAAAAATTAGCATATGCCGGGAAGGAGAGAGGGAGAGAGGTTTTTTTTTTTTTTTTTTTTTTTTTTTTTAGTATTGAATATATGTTGGGATCACATGTGGATGAGGCTTTTAAAAAAATAGCAAAATTTGATTTGTGCGAAATTATATTACTGCCTATGATTTTATTTTGTGATTGTCTTTTCACTTTCTTTTGGTTGACAAAGAGGGTTTTGTTGAGAGTAATGTTATTTTTACTTCTCACTCATCCCTCACAATTTTTTATCATCGAGTCGGAATTGAAGAAGATTGATGGCAAAAAATTAACAAGAGTTTGAGGAAGGTAAAAATTAGTGTGTGAATATCACTATCTTTTTGTTAATAGGCAATTTAGATAAGCACGTTAATTAACACTCAAGTAATAATTTAATTATCAACAATTACGTCATATAATTTATAAAATATGATTCAAATATATGATAGCATAACTCAAAATAAAAAATTGGAAATTCATAAAATATTTGAGTAAATTTATTTAAACATTGGGTTTCAAACTTTCAATATAGGCACTTTAAAAAATATAAATAAATAAATAAATTAGGCCAAATTTTACTTTTGTTTCATGCGGTTCTGTTGTATAAATTTTAGTCCCCGTAGTTTTGCAAAACCATTTAATTCAAGGAGCATGTATCACTCACATACATGAGCATTTTAGTAATTTCAGAACAAATGACCGTAAATTAGACCCGAATCGAAACCCCAACTCGAGTCCGGAAACCGAAACCCGAATCCCGAAACCCAAAACCCTAGCCGATTAAAATACCCTCTACCTCTCGCCCTGCGCCATTTCCTTCAGCGATTCAGCAACCCCTCCGCGGCGCCGTCGTCTTGTGTTCCTCAACCTCTCCCTCTCGTCGAAAAATCCAACCTCCGGGTCAGTCTTCTTCTCTCTCACTACCTCCGCCGCTTCCCGTCGTTGGTGACGTAACTTTCGCATAACATCTGCTACTTACTGTGAAACTGGATTCAATTATAATTAAGCTATTCCGTTAATTAGAATTAGGTTTGAAATTTTAGATCACAATTTTTGGGTACGAAGGTGATTAAGTTAGTGAATTGCAAATTTATATCCTTTTTCCCCTTTTGTTTTTGTTGGCATTTTAATTTAAATCATTTAAATTACTTGATTTGTAGAAACATATGGGTTAGGGTTCCATAATTTGTTTTTAATTCGTTCAATATTGGGAGCATTTGAGGCAGGCACTGTCAAATACTGATAATTTTTGAGAAGTTTGATTGTCAGAATTATACTTTGCAGCTTTGTTTTACCGGAAGCTATTACCAAATATGCTCTAATGTTTGTAGCTTCAATTGTGTTTATACAGAACCATGGCTGCTGATGCTGTAGCTCTTCCTGTAGCCGAACCAACGCTGGCTCACTATGACGTGAAGCTGTTCAACAAGTGGAGCTTTGATGATGTCCAGGTTTCTGGATTTTATTATTCGACTTAGTTAATTATAATTTTTCTCATATCTGTGATGATTTTCGATGAAATGAGGTTTTCTTCGACGTGTAGGTTTACGGATATGATGGGGTTTAATGTGGGTAGGCTTGAGCTATCAGATTTTGTTTGAGAGTATACTGATGTGATGGTTGGATAACAACGGAGGCAACTTTTATGTTCGTTTCTTTGTTGGGTAGTTGACATGACGGATTTGTGCCATAAACTCAATATATGTATTGGATTTACTCTTTTAAATGTTTAGAATTCTGTGTGACCTCCTTGTGGCGTATTGTGTTAGATTCACTGTAGGCCAACTTGTGTTCATTTCCTTGTTGAGTAGTTGTCTGTAACATGACTGATTTGTGCCTCAACTTCAATATACCTATTAGATATGCTCTGCTAAATGTTTAGAAATTTGTGTGTCCTCCTTGTGGCCGTCTTTTGTGAGATTTACTGTATGTCTACAAAGTAGGCTAAAGTTTATTGTTAGTATTATTATTGTTTATTGCACTCATTTGTTGACGTGTATTTTGTGTTGTCCTGATTATGCTGAGTCTGTTTTTACTGTGATTTCAAATTTATACTGGTAAATTCAGCATTTATGTAAAGTCAGCTATTAAGTGATTCTATTGGTTGATTGGCATTTACACCTCAGTTTTTTTTCGGTTTAGACGTTGAAAATTATGTGTTGACAAAAACTTGTTAATTTTGTCTTCTTGCATCTTCTAATGTATGGACTGTTTCCCATATGTTTGTGAAATGATAATGTACAATTTTAACATGTAGGTCAGTGACATTTCACTGGCGGATTACATTGGAGTTGCACCTTCCAAGCATGCAACTTATGTACCTCACACTGCTGGGAGATACTCGGTCAAACGATTCAGGAAAGCTCAGTGCCCTATTGTGGAGAGGCTTACAAACTCACTCATGATGCACGGCAGAAACAATGGAAAGAAACTCATGGCTGTCAGGATTGTTAGGCACGCGATGGAAATTATCCATTTGCTAACTGATCTGAACCCAATCCAAGTTATTGTTGATGCTGTCGTTAACAGGTACATTCACATATATGTTAAAATCTTTCTCACAGCAATCATATGCGTTGACCTCTGCTTCGTCACATGTTTGATGCTTGAGGGGATGCTCATGTGCCCTTTAGTATTCATTTCCTGATTACATGTTGATTTTTATACCTGTTGGGATTACGATGGTTATAAACATTCTTCTTCGTGCAATTCCGTATGGTTATATGTAACTTGTTTTTTTTTTTTCCCTCATGTTGTATGTCTTCTTTGTGCCAATCAGTGGTCCACGTGAAGATGCAACTCGTATTGGATCTGCTGGAGTTGTTAGGCGTCAGGCTGTGGATATCTCACCTTTGAGGCGTGTGAATCAGGCTATCTATCTCCTCACCACCGGTGCTCGTGAATCTGCTTTCAGGAACGTCAAAACTATTGCCGAGTGTTTGGCTGATGAACTTATTAATGCTGCCAAGGGTTCATCTAACAGGTAGTGCGTTTATTTTGCCTATTGCACCATATTTTCTCCAAAGCTTTTATCTGAGTTTTTTAAGTTACGTTGTTCCTGTTGATTCATTGTTTCTTTGCTGACGATTAGTGGTGTTTTATGTGCAGTTATGCAATCAAGAAGAAGGATGAGATCGAAAGAGTTGCCAAGGCCAACCGTTAAGAGGTTGCAATAAAAATGTTATATTTAGTAAGGAGAATTCGGTGTGCGTTTTGTTTATTCCGTCATTATGTAGAAGTTGTCGGATTGAGCTCGAATGTGAGACATGTCTTTGTCATTTGTGTTATGAAACCAGTCATCCTTTAGTTTGGGTTGTGTAATTTTATACCGTTGGATGCGGTTGATTTGAATTTTATTTAGATTGTGTTACATTTAAGGTACACATGCATTTTGAAATTTTGATAATAATTTTGCACTTGTAATGGTAAACCTCTCAAGGACATCATTTTCTTTGAGACTCATGCTTTTCGAAGGGCTGCCATGGTGGAAGTACACTTACCACCTTCCCATCTTCCTTTCGGAGGATGGCCGCGTTGGCGGTGTCGGAGGTAGAAGGTGATTTTTTTCCAGTTTTCTTAGGTCTTGTGATTAACACAACTTGATTTTGTACGTAACGTGTTAAAAATTGAAAATGAATAACCGATGCCCCTCATTGATTGTAAATTTCATCGTAAACCTGGCTTCCGAGCAAGCTCAAGAGGACAAGATTTCATAGAAAATGCCTGAAGTATTCGTCCTGGGTTTCAAAAGTACAAGAAAACACAGGTAAAGCGAAAGGAAAATAAACTCCACGGGAAAGAATCACAAGAAGAAATTGCATTTGTCGACATGCACCCTAAACGAATATTACCTTCAATGGGAAAGTCTCTAGCACAAACCCTAAATTTGAGGAATCTGTAATTGAAACCATTGATTTTCAACGGTAAAAAAACATAAGAGCTTGCCTAGCATGAATATGGACCTTTGATTTTCCAACCGTTAATGAAAACAACATGTGTGCTGCGAGATGCAACTGTTGATCAAAAAGTAATAATTGCACAAAGCAATTACGTGGGTGGACCAAGTTTCTCACTCAAAACAACATATGTGTTTGCGAGACGCATCTGTTGATTGAAAAGTAATTATTGCACAAAGCAATCACGTGGGTGGACCAAGTTTCCCACTGGGCGCCATCACTTCCGTCTTTATATTGTCCTTATATGCAGGAACCTGTCTTATGTATATGGTGAGTCACTATACTTTAAGAACTCAATTTTTAGTGGATTGGAGAGCCTTGTTCCTCATTTATCGGGTCTATACGGTGATGAGGACAACTTTGAGGACAACTTTGAGGACTCTCATTGGAGATGCTCTGAATAAGGCATATATATATAATTAAAATCCTCTAGTTCATACAAGAATCCGCTGTAGCAATGGAAAATCAATATTGATGATATTCCGGGTTCGAATCCCGGCAGCGGAAAATAATTTTTTATATTTTCACACAATTCAAAGCTCTGTTGAGCTTTGCGAAGAACGCTCAGGATCTTGCTTAATTAAAATTTTAAATTTTTGGAAGTGAATATTAGGTTGGGGATGTAGCTCACATGGTAGAGCGCTCGCTTTGCATGCGAGAGGTACGGGGTTCGATACCCCGCATCTCCATTATTCATTTTTTACATATTGTTTGTTCCTTAAACGACATGTCGTTCATCCTCTGTTTTTCGTGTGTCTCAGTTTCCCAGTCCTATCGTCTCTCTCTCTCACCCTCCAGACATGGATCTCTCATTCGCTCCCTCCTCTTCTCCGCGGTTCCCAGCTATAAGCCCTCACTGCAGCACCTCCTCCTATATTCCTCCAATTTCTGCTAATCCCACCACTGCAAAATCAGCTGCTTTTCTCTCAAGCTGCAGGACAAACTTGTACTCAATTGGGCTGTCCAGAAGCTGCTCCAAATCTTTGCTCAGCTGCCGGAAGAAGCGAAATTCCATCTGGGTATGCCGTATTTCTTCACCCCTAAGTTTTAACTGCTCCAATGGGGTTGTTTCTGACTTTCTGTTAGCAATGGCTGTTAAACAATGCCAATGTCAAATTTTGACGAGAAAGATTTCATCTTTTCTTTCTTTTTTTAGTTGGATTCGTTTAGTTTTGTTCCAATTTGTGAGAGAGATAGAGAGATTTGAAATTTTAATCCATGTTTCAGTGAGTGTTAGTAGAACTGGAAGTTTTGACTTGTTTGTTATTCTCGAGTAATGTTGAACTCAGATGTTAGCTAGTGTACTCTGCCCGTCGTACCCAAGTTTGTATTCCCCTCCCGTAAATTTGTTTTGAATCGCATTGTCAAAACGAGAAACAAGTGTTAATATTGAACATGTCAAAGCAGCAAAAACTGGTTAGAAGTTTGGGATAGTTATGAACCCATTTTCTTATTCTAGAAGATGCAAATACAGAAAAGGGAATTTTGGTGATTCTTTGTATGTTATACTCCTAGTCCCTGGTTAGTGAGATTATTTTCATTGGGAATGTTTTTAGTAATTCGTTTAGTTCCACGTGCACGGTTGCTTCCAAATTTTGTACATATAGTCTATCATTTTATGAGGCTCGAGCGTTTTCTTATGGCATTAAAGTGAAAGTGAATGCTGGCCAGGCCTGCAGTCAAGTTGGAGCTGCTGAATCTAATCCAGTATTGACCAAAGTCTCAGATTTTAAAGATGCTTGTTGGCGATTCCTCAGGCCCCATACCATACGTGGGACAGTTCTCGGGTCTACGTAAGTAAATTACCATGGAGAACACTGGCTAGTAAACTAGTTTAAATTCCAACTCAGTGCTGCTGCAGTTGACCGAGTTTTTTTGTTTTTTTTTGTTTTGTCCGCAGTGCTTTGGTGACAAGAGCTTTGATTGAGAACTCCAATTTGATAAAGTGGTCTCTGCTGTTTAAGGCATTCTCTGGTCTTTTTGCGCTACTATGTGGGAATGGTTATATAGTTGGCATCAATCAGATTTACGATATCAAAATTGACAAGTACGCCGCACACATTTATACACATCTTCCTGTTAATTTACAGTCATAGAGATAGATAAATATTATACACGCCGCACACAGTTATGCAGCCTTAAATTCAAAATATTAGTTCTGAACAACCACAAAAGCGTTATGCTCATTATTATTGTTATTTTTTTTTGTTTAAGATCCTGCACAAGTTGGCCCTTATCAGAATGTTATAGATTCATAGTTGATGCATATCAATCATTGGACTTAGAGACTCTTGTTAAAAATGTGTTGTTTACTCCTTGAAAAATATAGACCCAGGTGATCTTGACCTTTTGCTAAACTGTCATATGTTCTGTTGTTTTCCTGTTGTGTGACATATTGACCATCAAAGTTTTTTCATGTTAAACTTATTCTGCCCTTTTACCTTGTGTTTCAGGGTAAACAAACCTTATTTACCTATCGCTGCAGGGGATCTTTCAGTTAAATCAGCATGGCTCTTGGTGGTATTTTTTGCGGTGACTGGCTTGTTGATTGTTGGACTGAACTTTGGGGCATTCATTACTTCTCTCTACTGTCTTGGTCTTTTCCTTGGCACCATATATTCTGTTCCTCCGCTTAGAATGAAGAGATTTCCTGTTGCAGCTTTTCTTATAATTGCCACGGTATTGCTAATTTTCTCCCCTTCTCTATTTCTAACAATAGAATGATGTATTCTTTTTTTATGTTTTTGGATCCATTCTAAAGTTAGTAGCTACTTAGAATTCAATCGTTTGATATGGTATTTCGTGGAATTTGAAATTCATGGGCTATCTTCAAAATCTCCAAATAAAGAATAAAGCTAATATTAAGTTTTCATTTTTAATTTCTGGGTACTATTAAACAGATAACAGTAAACAAATATATGCTGATCACAAGAAAAGGGCATCTGAAAGCAATAGAGGAACTAAGTAGGAATTTACAAGTTTACAACTCATACTCATGAAGACACATCGTAGAAATGGGGTGAATTTAAATTGACCGTTTTCAACTAAGTTGTGGAAAAGGAGGGGAGGGTAGTAGGCCCATGATGAGGACAGAAAAGGAAGTCATTTATTTTCGAAGCCACATGAAACAAAACCGTTAGGCTCAAAACAGTAGTTAGACATTATTATTTGGCTGAAGCATCTAATGCTTACAATAGTCTAACACTCTCTCTTACTGAATTAGTATAGCTTGATCTAATATGACTGTCTGAAAATTGGACAACTTACTAGAAAGGAGCCTGAAAAGTAAAGAGTTTTAAAAGGATTAGGATGTTTGTGATTGCTATTATGGCGTTGTGGAAATAGCTACCATGATCTTTTGTATAAATGTGCGTAAAACATTATTTTTTCATATGTTTCGCCAGCAGTAGGATGTCACAAGAGATTAACAAAATAACTATTGCAGGTAAGGGGTTTCCTTCTCAATTTTGGTGTATATTATGCCACTAGAGCTGCCCTTGCGCTTCAATTTGAGTGGAGGTGTGTTACTTGCCCTATTCTGTTTTGTCATGTAGATAGATAAAACCATAGCATCGTATATGGTGTAAAAACATGGGTGTTCCTGGTCTTCTCTATGGGTGTCCGTATCGTCAGATTTTAGATATTTGTCCTTTTCTTATATTTGGCTTGATTGGACAGCTGCTATTAGTTAGCTCTTTGAGTTTTCTTAGTTTTGATTTCTCTATTCGTATCGCTTTCTGCTTTTGATTTTTGTGGACTGCTTGTTCACTTTGCGTATTTTATTGTCTATTTTGCCATAACATATCGTAACTTTCTTTAGAAAAAACATGGGTGTTCCTTTAGTCTTGTCAAAAATGACATTGGTAGCTTTCGGAAGACCATCCAAATGAATTCATAAACATAATTGTTGAATACTCCTCCCTAAAACTTATAATGGAAAAGAAATAATTGTATTATCTAATCATATTTCACTATTATTTAAGTAATGACCAAGAGGGCTTTAATCAGAAAATCTGGACTCATTAGTACAGGTATGATTCCAAAATTAGATTGGACTAATACAGGATTGTAAAGTAACGACCAAGCGAGCTTTCTCTAACAACTGAAGATATTTACTTATAATCTTGCATTTTCTTGTGAATCGTGCTATATGCTTCTATTATTTTAGCTATGTACATACTAATGCTGAAATTCACATTCTATCTGCAGCTCGGCCGTTGCTTTTATCACCACTTTTGTAACATTGTTTGCTTTGGTTATTGCGATAACAAAAGACCTTCCGGATGTAGAGGGGGACCGCAAGTGAGTTGTAGGGCTAATTACTTCTTGGCTGCTGATATCTCATTTGATTCTTTCTCTGCATACTTTTTTTTACTCATATAATTTACTTTTCAATGGTTAAAAACAGTTTCAAATTTTTGCTATTAGTTTTAATGTTACTCCTTTTTTCTTTTGTTTTT